CTCTCTCTCTCTCTCTCTCTCTCTCTCTCTCTCTCTCTCTCTCTCTCTCTCTCTCTCTCACACACACACACACACACACACACACACACACACCTCCTTCGTACGCTTGTTGCTTCCTAATGTGTCCGACACCCAACGCCTACCTCTGCATTGCCTCTCCTCTCATCCCCACACCATACAAATAAGTTGTCCCTGTCTCGATATGGATAATGCATCGTCCAGCACGGTTGTGCTGTAAGTTTCTACATTACCAATTCTGCTCGAGTCTCTGAGAACTAGTCGCAAATGATCACGATCCACCTTTTTTTGCAAGTATTCGCCTCACTAAGCATCCCTTCTTTTTTTTTTTGTCATTTTTAAACCATTTTTTGATGTATGCGTGTCATTCCGAATGCGCAGGGGCCATTTGCTAATTAGTAATTACCCTTCTCTGTGCCGTTCCAATTTTAACAGACGTTCCGAAGGACAGCCGCACTAACCATCTTTGTTCGACAAACATTGGGTTTCGCTGGCTTGCAGAAAGAGGCGGGTGTTCCGCGGCGTGTGCTAAGGATAGAGGACATCCCGGGGATAAGTATGTGTCGTCCCTGTCTCTGGCCTAGCTCAGTCGGTACACCCATGAATTTGTTGAAATACAGACCCTAGTTCTAAACACTAGAACCAAATAAGTCTTAGAAAGAAAAAAGAAACATGTCTCATGCCCGATTAACCTTGACCTGGTTTCTTCATGGAAGTGCAATTCCACTTCCTTTTCAGCTGTTATTAATTTGTTAAAAACTTAAAATGTAAAAAGAATATAATCTGAATGGTTGATTCAACTTGATTGTTATTTAATATTAAAATTTAAAACGGTTTTCACCTTTGCAGAGGCAGATGCAGATTCCAGGGTTCGATCCCCAGACCTTACCTTACCCATGTACAGTATCGAGTTGACCCCCGAGTGTTTGAACCCGTGACCTGTGTTTCGGTAGTTGGTTATTTGTCTGTCGCAGGACTGTGTAGATGTAGGGATTCGATCTGTAGGTCTGTCGAGTAGAGGTCACAGCTTTGTAGAGGTCGTAGCTATAGGCATTCTGAAAGGTCAAGGTCGTAGCTGCTACAGTCCTGAAAGGTCAAGGTCGTAGTTGCTACAGTACCCGAAAGGCCAAGCCCACAGACTTCCGGAAGCTCCGGAAGCAGCCTTTCGAAGTTCGTCTCACGTTTAGACAGAGGCAAGTGGGCAAGTGGTGAGCCCAACTGCGTTACGTCAGTAGTGCAACTGCATCAAGTTGGCAGTGCAAACCCATGCAGTCAGCGGTACCGGTCCAGTCAGTCCCAGTCCAGTCCAGCAAGTACCAAGAGGGACTGTGTGCACCATGGGCCGATGGAAAGGGGGCAGACCAACGAGTTACAGAAGTATAAATCAAGAGGCAGCGCTCAGCCCATTCATTCATTCGCTGCGTAAGCCATGCAGAAGCGCTGCTACAGCGTCTTGTGCGAAGGTGGTCTGCAGGTTGCCCGAAGACGAAGTGGGCTGAAGAAAGATCGTAGCCATAGTCAGTAGTGGTAGTGCGGCCATAGCCGCTGTAGGAGGAAGTTAGACATAGCGTATGTGTGTGGTGGTATTCAGGGTGATCCAGAGTGAGCGTGTGAACAGTGGGGTTGGACACAGTGACGAAGGTTGGGATGTTCAGGCACTGATGCGCCATAGCCTGTTGAAGAGAACTTGCATCTGAACTGTTCTTGATTTCCATATCTCTAAGCTTTGAGTGGGCGCCCTGCGCCAGTGTGAGTCTCCATCTGTTTGCATGTGTGCAAAGTGGAAAGAAAGCGAGTCTGATTGCAATATTTATTAAGTTGTTCATTTGTGGAAAGAATAATTCATTGTTGGGTGTTATCGAGTTTCGACTTTCGAGTCCTTTTGAATTTGGTAAAATCATGTTGTATGGTTCTGCTTCACCAACCAGGCCGGCAGGGCCACCTTGGTTGCCTGGGTGGCCCAGCCGGGCAAGAGATCTCCAAAAAATCTGAAAAAAAAACTATGTTGTGCCTAGGAAGATTCTCACGCCCGTACGTACAGAGGCCCCCGGGTGGACCTCCGTACATTCGGGCGTTCGGGGTCCCGTACGGGTCCCGAACCCGACGGCGTTCGGCCCCCGCCAAAAATATTTCGGGGCCTAAAAATACTTTTTTTTTTCTGAATTTTCTTGCACGACTTCTCTATTATGTGAGGTACATGCCTATAAATTTTCAAGTCATTTCTCTTAGCCAAATAAGAATTAAAAATCGCCAAAGATGGCGGTGTCAAAATGTGCTCGCCCACGTTTTTTTTCACTTTTTACTTTTTGTTTTCACTTTAGTTCGGGGTCTAAACAATTTTATTATTTTTTGAAACTTTTTTAGTGGGTTTTGTATTATGTGAAGTACACATGTGTAAATTTTCAGGGCATTTAGCTATGCCAAAGAAAAATGAAAAATCGCCAAAGATGGCGGTGTCGAAAACATGCTCGCGCACTCACTAAATTTAATTCTCTTTTTATTTTTATTTATTTTTATTATTAGTATTTGTTCTGTGTATT